ACAAAACAAATACTTATTTGATGGTACATGTTATTTTACCTTTTAGAAAACAATGCCAAACGGTTGAAGGCCAGGAATGGCACCATCCTAAATCATCATCATCTGAAAGTGATGACATGCAGAAAATGCCAGATTCTGATTCACTATTCGCCTATTAAAAAAAAGAAAAATGGTGTTGATATTTTACTACAGAAGATTTAAGATTTTAGGACTGGTTTTATATGTCTTAAGACACAGTCACTCATTTGCACCTGTGGCATCATTTTGCCTCAAATACCAATAGGAATGTAACACAGAGGTTCAAGGAATGCAGTAAATAGGAATGGAGCGTTTTGATCTCCTTTTCTGAGATGCATCCTGAAATTTTTGGGTTTCATTCCCTGAGATTCATTTTTACACACCTATGGATTATCTTATGCTTAGGTGTAAGCCTTTTACAAGCTATCACTCTTTGGTCATCCACAGACTCACTCAAAGCACATGTTACTCTATGGTCCAATTACTGGAAAGCTGCAGGTTCAAGCTGGTTCCTGATAAACCACCTGGAAAAATTCAGTGTCATTAACAGACAAGTTTCAGACACAAATTAATACTCAGGAAAGGGAGACATGGGACCGACGGTATTTGTGCGTCTAAAAGGAGAGAGATCCATATTTCCTTTTCAGGTTGCAAATGAGTTAATAGAGGTTTTTAAAGCTTGCTATAGAGGGAACTACAGCAGTAGCAAAGTATTCTTAGAATAGGATCTCTTCAGAAAAAATGTGAACTCTATAAAGCAGCACTACAAGCCTACCCTGTGTGGTAAAAAGAAACAGAAAATCCAGTTTAAATAGAAACGGTATGGGTACTAAACAGATTATTTTTTTTAAACCAGTTTTCCTTTTCAAAAAACTTAACTCATTACTCATAAATCTTCATTCTAAAATGTTTCAGAACAACTCACCCTTTCGTGTCTGACTGGTGTTTCATCCACATCATTCTTGGAGAAGTTAGGATCATTGTTTGAAGATACTGGTGGAGGACGTGCATAGGAATGTAAACTTTTGCTTGTAGCTATTATGTGAACAGGAGATGATCTACAATAAAAACAAGTATTTTAAAATAGCTCAGATTAAGACAACTTGAGACTTCACTGCCGTTACTCCAAAATGCTTTTATTGCAAATATTTCTGTTTGAGTGAGCTGAACACCAAATAAACCTCCCACACACTAGTATTCAAATGGGATGATTAAAAGGTGCAAGCTCAGGCAAAGAGAATATTTAGCATAACTCCTGCATAGCTTCTATACAGCACCCAAATGACAGTATTACTTCCACAACAGCATCTCACTGTCACAATGCTGAAGTTTTTACAAATATATTGAAGTGAATACCCCATTCTTAAGAGTAAACAAAGACATCTGCTCCGCCCTAATAATTAAATCTCAACTGCATTACTATTAACAGCACCGCATTTAATTTTCTAAATATAAACCTAAGACTAGGATGTAAAATGAGAAGTGAAGCCCACAAATTTTCAAGATTCCACACTGCTGTTCACAGCCTCATGGAATTTACAGATCACAGACCTGAAACAGTTATCACTAAAACATACTTTGCATTAGATTTCCAATTAGCTCTGTTAAAAAAAATTTAAAAGTAAGTGCACTAGAAAGCGCTAAGAATTTAACACAATAAATTCTTTTTAATTTTTCATCTGCTGCTTCACATGAAGTAAACATCCATAATTTCTGGACCTGCTTTGACTAGGCAATGTTGTTATATCAATGTGTTATATCATCCCACCTCATTCATGTCTGGAAACTAAGCAGCTTTTGCACCAGACTCTGAGATGAGTCCTGTGCATACTTTTACAGAACAATAAGGATACTAAACAGATCAAAGAACAGAGCTCCAGTTCAAATTCAGAAGGTATAAGGAGTGAAGGAAATGTTTCTGGAGACACAGTATTACAAATCCCCACAGTTCAAAATTGAAAAGAATGTCAGTACCTGTTATAAAAAGCGCACTGCATCAAAGGACTCTGAGGACTTGTGGCTATATTTGCTAATTCTGTCAACCAGTTCACCCCATTCTCACAAGAATAAGCATTTTCTGGATTGCTGTTTGAGGTATGTTGGCTCCATGAAGGCCTTGAACATTCCTGATGTGAAACATCAGCACCAAGCTGAAAAAGTGCAGGTGGGGTAGAATCTGTCTGCACAGCCTGTAATTCAGGAAGATCATCTACAAACAAAAGCACAGATTACCATAATTATACCCAATTCTAGTTGACATCAAATATTGCAAATTTAAATAAAAAAGGAACCACAATAGTTTTATTTTTTTGTATCACAACTACCAACATTTTACAAATCCTATTCGTAATCCTGACAAAATGGCCCCAGAAATAGTAACACCTCTAGTCTAACGTACAGTCACACAAGAAATTTAAGAAAAAAATAAGTTAACTATATAAAAATGTAGTTCTGGTACCAGTTTACATAGAACTGTACTGCAGAACTATGCAAAATGTAGCATAGTTACACGCTTAACTGAAATATTAAAACATTCAACAAAAGGCAATTAAATTAATCTGTCCTAGCAGGTGTAACACTAAAAATTATCAATATCAAAGGCTATTCAAGATAAAAGTTTTCCACGTTCCACCAGGGAACTGGAATTAAGTCAGAAATCATGAAAGCTGAGTAGGGGTGAATTCCTGTCAGTAACCTACACCTTTCACATCCCATACAGAACAGCAGAATAGAGCCCAGCATGTTAACAGAAGCCTGTGTTATGCACTGCCACGTAACTAAGTTTCATTATTCTTAATCACTCCATGAGTTCAATTAAATGTGTTAATATTTCACTGATTATATCAATACTTTCTAATGTACATGCTGTTTTTCTCCAGTACATAAGAAGTGAAGTTAAATGTTCCTACAGACCAGAATCTTTATTTGCAGCAGATCTAAAGCAGCATAATTTCTCTTTAGGAGGAGCTCTTGAGCATCATGTTTGTTATTCTTGTGCCAAAAAATTGTTTCTCTGGGGATTAGTAGCAGAAATTTGTGGCTGTGAGTTCAAGTAAACATTTGAGTCAAAAGGCCAGCCTGTAAGAACTGGAAATGGGTTAAAGGGAAAAGTGACTTCAAAGTAAGACCTTCAGATGTCACAATTCACTGTCACATTCCCTGTCCTACTTAAGTTAAAAATCAGCATCAGCTTCCAGTAATTTCAGTATAGAAAATCTGCAATGAACTTCAGAATTCAGCTTCTCTTGAAAAAGTCATGTTATTTACCAAGTTCCATGTGCTCATCACAGGATGCATATCCAGGAGAAGAGGGCAGGTTTTCATTACACTTCAGCAACTCCAGTGACTCGTTCATTCCTGAAGTTCTCTTGTCCACTAGCAGAAGGAGTTTCTGAACTGCATTAGGCATTTGATTTGTCTTCACTTCCCACACCATGTTAGGATGCTCCAAAGCATCTGACTTTAAAGAGACAGAGGTTAAAAACTTGTATGCATGGGAACTGGTTTAAGTTGCCTCTGATACGGTACTTCATTACCAGAACTCCACAGTGTGTTGAGTATCACAGCATAATTCAGGGAAGTCTACAGATGATCTTGTACAATCCCTACAGAAAGCAGAGCTAGCTCTGAAGCTGGGAGGCTGCTTGGGGCCCTGGCCACTTGAGTTTCTAGTATCTTGAAGGATGGAGATTCCCTGACACTTCCTGGGAACCTGTTCCAGTGACCACTCTTGCTGTAAAGAAGCCGTTCCTTACACACATTTGAACTTTGCTTGCCACAGCCTGTGCCCACTGCCTCCAAGATCTGAGGTTATCTCCTCAACCACCATTCAAGCCAATGTAAACAACATTCACTGGTAGCCTAAGCCTCTCATCCCATCACAGAAGGCAATCAGATGGGTCAGACAAGATTTGACTTCGGCTAATCCATTCCAGCTATTCCCTAACCCAGACAATTTCTTGCCTTGTAAAACATGGCTGTCAGGAGGATTTGCCCCATAATATTTCTCAAGGCTAAGGTTAGGCTGGCCAGCCTGTAGTTTCCTCATATCCTCTTCCTCCTTGAAGCCAGATGTGACATTTTCTTTCTTCCAGACATTGGGAGCCCTCCTGCCAAAGAATCCACTGCATTTCGGAGACCACTCTCACAAGGTGTCCCTGCCTACAGCAGGGTGCTTGAAAACAGATGATCTTTAAGGTCCCTTCAAGCCCAAAACAATCCATGAATGACACTGGCCAGCTCCCTTGGAGGCATCCCATCCAATGCATGCCTCACAGAACCAGCCTGCCCCTCACTTGCTCCTCTTCTACCATAGACAAAGAAGTGTCTCACTCTGTCAGACCCATGTGGCTGCACCCAGGGACTTGAGAAAGCTGGAAACAGGCCTTGCAAATAAAGATCAAAGCAAAAATGTTGCCCTCAACCTTGTGACATCAGGTCTCCTGTGCCATTTAGCACCAGCCCCAAATTCTCCCTAGTCACCATTTCACCACTGTGGCGTCTCCACAGAAGCCTTTTCCAGTCCCTTCACATCCCTTGCCTCCAGGTGCAGTCTCAAGCACAGTGGACTGCAAACATCCTGAACAGCATTGCAAAGGGAAAGAAAAAGAAGTCTTTACTAGTAGATTTCACCGCAGTTTCATTTCCCTAAATCTCAGTACTGTAACATTTATCCCAAAAGCATTATTTTAAATTATCTTCAGCAGAGCACTGCGTGCTTATTCTACACAACCACTGCCTCTAAAAGCTGGCAAACAAGGTTATCCAATCTTTAGTAATTTCATTATCTACTGGGTTTTTTTCAGATGATGATGAATTAAAGCTACTATAACATGATTACCTTGTACTTTAATGAAGTGTCATTGAAAAAGTAATCACAAGACCTCATAAAGGAGCAGGAAACACAGCTCAGTAAGAAAGAAAATCTGAGAAGTCTACCTCCATGTTCACGTCCACTAAGTAAGGTACATTAAAGAAATACAAACAACAGCTAAAAACAGCCTAATATTTTCACATCACAAAATGACTGGGTTGGAAGGGACCTCTGGAGATCATCTAGTCCAACCCTCTCACTGCTAAAGCCGGTTCACCTACAGCAGGTTGCATGGGATTGTGTCCAGGAGAGTTCTGACTGGAAAATTTCTAACATTCTCATCTCTTAATCTTTCAAATACATGCAAAACTTAGAGAAACTTGCATGCCACACATAAAAGAATGTTTGATTCCACTCAAATGGCACTACTACAAAGCTAGGTCAGTTTATTCTGATTTTAAGGAGGTGGAGCAGAAAGTTTATTTGATTTGAATTTATTTTCATTTCTGTGGCCGGTCAGTGACATTAATTTCACCTCCAAGAAACATCTTTAATGCAAATTATTCCTCTATCATCCATGTGGGACAGCAGAAGTACAGAACACCACGAGAGCAGAAAGCTCAGCCATTTCTGCAGAAAGCTCAGACCTCAATAGAACAGGTCAGGACCTTGAAGATTATCTCCAACTAATCAACTCTGAAAAGCCACTCCTTGTTTTTCTGGCTTGTGTACGTCCTTCCTTTCCCCCCTTCTGCTTTGCTTTTTGCTCTATTTTTTCCTCTCTTCTTTTCCCATTTTCCTGCCAAAATGAACAAGCTAACTTATTTTTGTAACGCTACCTTCACCTTTCTTCCTGCCAGGTGCCAAGATTTGAAAGTACCTGCCCTGCTATCCCAACACACTGGAGGTCAGCAATAAGGTACAGACACAACATGCTAATCTGACAAGCAAGATACTTGCTTGAGAAATGAAGTGTTCCTCCAAGTCACAAAAATTTCTCTAAACCAAAGCCACCCATGTAAAAAAGCCAAAAAAATCCTCTAACAAATGAATTACAAAGAAATCATAAAAAACTTACAAAGAAAAACAAAGAAAGTGCCCAACTTTACTTTTTAATGTTTTTATTCTACTTGATTAAAGCCTGTTTTGGACATCACATGTTTCTCTTGTCCTTAGCCTTTCAACGGTTTAGAACATGAAACAGAATGGTCATTAATTCGCCTGTAAAGATTTTCTAAAATTCAACTTTATGTTCAAAACTTGTTGTGTCAGATGTTTTTTGGAAGCACGCTTCACAGGACTGTAATTACTACTGTCGTCTTTAGAGGCTAAGCAAAATTATTTATTGTTTTGTGCTTTAAAATAACTTGTCATGCTAAAACAAACAGCAGTATTAACAAAGACATTATTAACTGAACCATGTCTATTTCTGAAGGACAAAAATAAATGTGTGACAAGAGTAAATAAAGGCTGTGGCTGAGAAGGGGTTCAGCAGGAACTGGGCAACATCCACCCAAACCGCACTGCGCAGGAATGCCTGGGTGGAAGTGCTTCCCGTGTTTTTTTTCCTCCTGGTATTTGCCCTCCTTCCCCCAACCCACCGCCGAAGTCTCAGGCAACATCTACGCCTGAGCAACGCGCTGGATGGAGTTTAATTTGAACAGCTTCTCCAAGCAAAACACAGCATACTGGCAAGACTGGATCTCTCCCAGGGACTTTTCCTGGTGCAGCTGCTTTGATCAGGGATCCCTGCTCCCCATTCCCGGCCGTGCCAGGGAGCGCAGCACAGACAGAGCGTGATTCACCATGTTTTCCAAGCCCGGGCGGCCCGTTCGCGTGACGCAGGGCGGGCCGCGCTCCCCTCACGGAACAGACTCCCCCCGGGACCCTGAGGGCGACGTTCACAGCCCGATCCGGGCCCGGAGGGCTCTGGCGACGCCCGGGAAGCCCTCACAGCTCCCCGACTCACCCCCAGGAGCCCCCACGGCTCCCACCGCCCCCGGGCCGCCCCCCCACCCATCACGTGACCTTGTTTACACCCGCGGCCACACGGCGCATGCGCGCTCGGCCCCATTCATTCGTACTGCGTAACAGGGGCCCGGGGGGGCCCCCCCGCCCCGGCCGCCGCTCCCCCCGCGGGGCCGCCCGGGCCCCCCGCACCCCGCACCCGGCCCCCTGCCCCCACAGCCGCTGTCCCCGCGCCGGGCACAGCGCCCTCGCTCTGACAGATCGCGGCGGGCGGCCGCTCCCTCAGGGAAAACAAGTGGGGGACACCCGCCCTGCTCCACTTGTTTTCGGGTCTGGAGGGCCCGCAGGGGGGCCGGCTCACCGCGCAGGTTTCATCCCAGCCGCGCGGGACGGTGGCAGCTCCGCCGGGCCGGTCATGGAAGGCGCCCAGTAAACAATGTCCCGGGCTCCCTTCGCCGCCAAAAGCCTGCCCTCGCGGCTTCCTCGGCTCGGCCCGCGGCCGCCGCCGCTCCCCTCCAACCTCGCGGAACCGGCCTGCCCCCCGCGGCCGCCTCGCAGCCCCCAAAAGCGGCAGCTGCAAACTTTGTAGCACTTACCGAACCCGTCGCCATTACCGAGCTCCCCTCGGCTGCCCCCCCGCCCCAGCCCCGCTGCGGGTCCCGCCCACGCCCAGCGCTGCTCGGCCGTTGAGTGGCCAGAGACGACGTTGCTCAAGCCGTAGCCGCTTCCTATTGGCCGCCCGGCCTGCCTGTCAGGAACGCACCCGGAGGGCGGGCATGTTTTGACTCTCCCGCGCAGCGGATTGCACCGCGCTGCACATCAATCACCCGCACACGGCGTCCCGATTGGCCGGTGCCCCCGCTGACGCGCCGAGGGGCACTCTGGGAGCTGTAGTGCTCGCCGCCGCCCTTCCTTGCCCGCGGGGCGGCGGTGAGACCACAGCCCCCAGGGTGCCCCGCGCGGCGCCCGGCGGTGGTAAACAAGCGGTGCAGGGACACGTGTACCCGGCCCGGGCCGCGCCGCGACCCCCGCCCGCAGAGAGGGGGCTCTGTGGGATCCCCGCGGCCACCCGGGACACCCCTGCGTGTCAGCGCTGCACCGAAACAGGCTGCGCAGCGCCCTGGGCACCGCCCCGGCGCGGGGGGTGAGGGAAGTTACTAAAGGTCAGGCAGTGAGTCAGCACAGTCGGCCCTGCCCCGGTCTCGGCCCTGACGTCCCTTCCACTGAAAAAACACCGGCCCAAAATAAAAGTTGGTGAGGGGGGAAGAAAAATAAACTAAATTCATACAGGTTTATAAGTCCAGTAGTGTCTCCCGTACATTCCCATACATTTATTGCCAAAATAACAACGTGGTTTGGTTAAACATTACTTTTGACAGAGAAATGAAACTACAGATACTATGAGATTTGCCCACTTATCCAGTGACTGGGAGATCTTAGAGACAAAGCTCCTCCCGAGGCCACGTCCTCGTCACAAAATACAGTAATTACTAAGCATGACGTGATACAAAGCAAATGTACAATTCAAAAACAGTCAATATTTTAGAAACTGATGGAAGAGTTTCAACATTTTGCAGCTGTTTGGATTTTTTCAAGAAAAGCATTTCTTTCTTATCCTGTTTTCAATATCATTCCAATAATGAGTATGCGTCCTAAATCCTGTCTCAGAGCTTTTGTTGTTATTTGCTATCTTCAACAGCTCTGCCTTTCAGGCACGCTAACACAGCTTTGCGAGAATACAAGAAAAAAAAAAAGCACAATTTAAACAACTGGTTCCGTGTTCGTTGTCCCCTGACAAACGTGGTTAGTGGCCGCTAGAGGGAATGCTGGATTATTGTTCCCACAGGCCTACAAGCGTAACACAATTGGAAAGAAAAAAAGAAAATTAAAGCACATACACCGAAATTGTACTTAGCATCGAAACACACTCAGTATGCGGATGTCATTGGCACATCAGTTTAAGATTTGCCTTTTCCAAGAGGTTTGTCTGTTAGTAAAGTCATTGCCATCCGTAGGCACTGTTTGGAGAGATACATTACTTTGAAAAACACACAGTATCTTCCACACTGTGAACTGGAAACTATTACTTTTTATATGCAAGTTTAGCTTTAAAAAAAGAGTATAAAAGGCAATGCAATGGAATTTAATTCAAAATCTTCTGTGCTTAATGACCAAACCAACCAACCCTTTACAGAACGTTCTCCCAGTTCGAAAACATGAGTTAAACAAGTGCCTTGAGGAAAAATCTTAATATTGAGATTCAAATATTAAGCAACTAGACAGCTTATTATAATATCAACTGTCTACCCCACATTCCACAAGCTCACATTTTTCCTATATTTACAATTCAGGGTTTTCCTAAATAACTGATATATCTTTATATAAGAAAGATTTTGTAGCATCCTCTCTCTCAAATACATTTTTTTAATAAATAGAAAACTGGTAAACCGGGAATCATCTTTTTTACACCACTCCACAATAAAATTAATTTTAAAGCTGTGCTACTCCCCCTTTCTCTTTTGATCTCCCTTATGTATCTAAACAGCCTTTAGGCCCTTTGGAGAGACACCTGAGCTTCTGTGGCTTTTCATGAATTTCACTGCTGACCCTGCATCACCAGATGGAGACCTGGCAGAAGACCCGTGCATGCAGATGTCTCCCTTCTGCAAACAGGCTTCTCTGCTTGTGGTACAGCCACTTGCAAGGTAAAACTCACCATTTACTCTTCTGAAAGCTCCCCCTGCCATAGTGTGAAAGATGGAAAGGGCAGAGGCTGGATCAAGCAGCTACAGAAGATACAAGATCCTGTCTCAAGTCCCCTCAGATTCTTCAGAACAAGTTTGTTGGCCTAAAGATTCATATCATGTTATGTAGCCCATTTCCACCCTGTTATGTACTTTTTGAACCCAAAACACCCAAACAAAATAGCTGCACAGCTATTTGCTGTGAAGGCTCACAGTTCTCTACAAAACCTTACAAAACTGTTAGATGTGAAGCCCAGTCCTTTGAGATCCACTGGCCCGGATTCCAGACATAGGTCTAGACAAGTAAATACCACTGCTGAATTAGAGCCTTGATATCACACTGGAATCTATAGCATACCCAGAAAGCACAAAATATATGAATCCTAACTAGGACCAAGATTACAATCTTGTAATGATGAGTGTCTGAATTGTTTTGAGATTCTAAAAAGAGACATGTAAAACCTTTCTTATTTTCAAATATACCTTTTCTTCTTTGCATATAGTAAATTAACATTTACTCAGTGGGATGTAAGAGAAAATGAGTCAAAGGACAGGTAGCCCATGAAGTGGATGACAGCAGAAAACTATCAAAGCTTATTTACTAACCCCCTCGGTTCAAGGCAAATATGTATCATCTAAATTTCAGAATTAAGATTATGTCAATGCCATACCCCTTGAGCTGTATGTCTAGTCTCTAATTAAATCATTACACCCCCTCCACACACCCTACCTCGCCTTAGTCCATGCCCAAAATGAATGGGTGCTCAGAGAATGAATCAATACTGTGTAACACAGACACTGTTGGTAGCTTTGCTGATTCAGTTGCTTCTGCTGTTGTAAGAGGTAGAAAATAAGGTGGGGAATTGGGAAGTGTTAGTTGTGAGTTCCTGTCACATTATGGGTGCAGAAGCACAAGAAGCACAAAACAATTAGCAGAGTCTACACTATTAGAAAATACTGATTAATTTGCATCTTAGCTATTTACTTCTTAAAATTGCCAGCCACAAAGTTAAGAAATCACAAGGTAGATTTTTAAAATGAGTAATATTTCAAAGTCATATTAATAAAATGTTATATATTGGGTTTGTGCCTATCTCCACTTTTAATCCCTCCTGTCCAAAGCCAATCCTGCCCTTATGACACAGCTGTTACTGCTGACTCTCTGAAATACACCATATCATTATTTTAATTCTACTACAGCTGCTTTCTCATCCACATGTAGACATTCACCCTCAGTAATTAACTAATACTCCCCCAGACATCAGAGGAACCCTGCTCACCATAGCTTCCACTCCTACCCAACGTGGCAGCCTCTGTTCTGCCAGACCGTCTCACACCAGTTTTCTCCTGTCACAATGACTCCTGTATCTCCTAAAGCTATTTGTACTCATTCTCTCTTCTCACAGCTGTTTGTGGCTGACTGCAATGGTGGTAGGCTCCCTCCACCTTCCTAAGGACAACTCTAGGCATGCCCATCCCCACATTTCACCTCTTCAATCTCCTCACAGAAGATGCTGTCGGGAATGAAAAGCAGAGGAACAAAGAACTTGTTGCTCTCAGGAATTAATTTTTCCCTTGAGTGCTAGAAGGGAAACTTCACTTGCTTCCTGCAGTCTGTTCAAGGTGGGGAGAAATGGAATAAATAACAGGCCAGAGATGATTTTTTCTTCTAAGACAGATCAGGAATTAATGAGAAATTTATTTCATGTCATTAAGGCACAGATTCCAGTTTTAGCTAAATTTTATCACCTACAAAAATAAAGCAAGACAAAGGTGACAATAGTATTAGGCAAAAAATAAAGGCTTGATATATCATAAAAACAATCCAGAAGAGTGATAAATAAGAAAACCATCTATCCCAGCTCAAAGCTTTCAGAAAAACAATTCAAGAAGAGATTATAGACCATCTGTAGGTTTTCTTTATGCGGATTGGTAAATTAAAATGCCCAGGAGTGTTTCTGGAATACAATCATCTGTAATGAAATTTGTTTTAGAATTTTTTTGGTAAATGGTAAATTTTTTTGCAGGCCAATAATAAATAATTTTTGGATAGGATTTGGGAGCTACCACAGGCTAAGGACTGTTCTCAGTTGGCCATCTGTGTATGACCATCCCTTATGGAAAGCTGGAAAAAAGCTTCCAAGACAGCTTATACACGAGCCCAGACAAATACTGGAAAAAAGTATGAGTGTTGGTCATTCAATGCCTCTGTACTAGCAAATAGTCTCAGGCACATAAGATTTCCCATGATAGATATAACTATACAGATGCAGCAAAAAACTAAAGGTAGAGTGAAGCTAAGGTTGCTTAAGATAGTCACACCACCTGACTCCACAAGGACAAAGCAATAAAGAGAAAAAGAAGATAGAGCTTCATGATAAGTTGGATGGCTTTTTCCAAGTAAGACATTTATCAGAACTGAATTTCCAGAATCTTCAGAGATATAAGGGAGCAGATCCCGGAGGCTCACTCGGCTGCCAGGATATCAGTCATCCACAGAGACCTGCACAGAGCATTATCATCTCCCAAAACTTCATAGCTGCTCAGCTGAAATAATTCAGTACCTTCAAAGAAGAAAGGACAAAGTATTCATATCATGCCATTATGCTCTTTTTAGGCTGTCTTGATTTAATTTATGTCAGTAAGAAAAGGTTGAGTCAGCAGATACTGTCACAATGGCCTAGTATAACCTAATGTCAGAGCTTTTCACGTGGTTTTGACTGGGCAGCTTCTTTTGTGTAATAGCTTGGTCTTTGTTCCTTCCCTGTTCCCCCCATACACACATATGCCTCTACCAGTTCTAAGGAAGAAACACAACCCTACCCACGGTATTCCCACAGCCATGGCAATGCCAGTACTGCACTCCAGCACATTCTGACTTGCCATTAGGGAAGAGACAAGGATGGGACAAAGGGGATGGGGAAAAGGAAGTTTCTGTCCGATGAACTGGACCTAGCCAGTCACTCCACTTGCCTTACATCCCCCTACTGCCACTGGCTCTTCACATGGCTGTCAGAAGAAAGATCTTTTAGAGGGAAAT